AATTTGCAAATATAGCGCTGATTTTTGTTGTTTGATTTATAAATTAAATATTCACGTAGTTTGCTATTAGTTCGCGAATGATTGTGATTGCTTTAGAGTAATAAAGATAATTTGCAGTAATGTCGTTGATAAAATTCCGTCACGTTAGTATAATATAATACACTAATAATAAATATACACTAATAAAATAATCATTAATCCGCCTAATCGGGGTTGTGGTTAGCGACAGTGATTGACGTACCGAAGGGCCCCGTTTCGAATCCCAGAAAAGGCATGGATGTTTGTAAATGTATTCTGTCTGTGCGGCAAGGGGGCACTCTAATTACGAGGCGAGCTGGAAGTCCTCTCCTGAGGTTGGTAGTAGGGGAAGAGAGGTGGGAGACCCTCGACTCTCGAACCCTCAGCGTGCTCTCCAGTAAAATTGGGCGAACTGAACAATGTCGTACTGCCATCTGTATTGTGCTCTAGGCTCTTGTCAACGACAGTTGCAATCTTGCACTCCTTGCTACGATAAATTTTGTGGGCTTGTGCTGTTGGTACTGAAATCCAACTTTCAACAAATTATGAGTGTAACACTGTAGTCAGGCCAGTCCCCTTAATGCTGTATTCCATAGCTTCTATTAATAATTACTTAAACTATATAACAATTCTAACTACCCCATTCCTGCAAATAACGCGACTGCTCTCTGCAGTAATGCAAAATCGGAAAAAGTCTCGTAAAGAAGTTTAATTGCATTTCCTTCATAACTCTTAATACCTGTGCTAAGAAATATCTTAGTCAAATGACAAATCATTTTAATTTAAGATTCGACAATAATTATTGTAGTTCTAATTTTAAAAATTCAATAGCAAAAAAATTAGTAACAATAATATAAGTAACGTTGTAGGATACGAACGCTTCAGCAACTTTAGCTCGAGCAACTTTCAAATATAAACTTGAAATTTTAGACCAAACGTTCTTAACCTTTTTCGCCCCCAAGCACCACTTTAACCACTGCTAAAGGATCATTCTCCCATCCTTCATCCTTTCCAAAACTCGAAAAATACATATTTGCATTTATCTAGTCTAAGATAACCTTTCTAACTTGTTTATAAACTAAACAAAAAAAACTAAACATCAAAACTTGAACAAAAGTACTTTTTTATATTCATGAACTAAAACTAAATACTTGTCAGCTAAATAAAAGGCTGTCCGCACCCCTCCTGCCACTATGAAATTCTCCTCAGAGGGAGAAATTCCATTAAAGGTTAAGAACCCTGTTCTCCTAATACTAAAGCCCACCAGCGGCCGAGCGGTAAAGACGCTGAACACTGGTAGTTCGCTCCGAGGTTCGAATCTCGCGAACGGGATGGCTGCATGGGCGTTTTCGTGGTTTTCCCCATGTGTAACGTGTATACGTGCCAGTTTCTCTTAGAAAGGTCCTCCACGAAGGCATCCTTCCGTTTAAGCAGATAGCTGTCGTGTGCTTTGCCATAATTGAATAATCCATAATACTAAACAAACGTTACTCTAATACTAAAGAATGAGTTAACCAAGAACGCTAGTTATACTCAAATTTCAAACGTATGGATTTAATACAATATTTCAAGAAAAATGAAAAGTTCATGAAAACTCTTGTATCTATAAAAACTTGCTATTTTTTCAAAAAGATCACCAAAGGAAGCAGCAGAAGCAACAAAAATAGCGTAAATCCAAAACTTATATCTTCAAAAATTTCTAATTTAATTGGAAAACGGATTACTAGAAAAATTATAAAAAATGCGTTCCTAAAATCTTTAAGCTTACTTATCAGTAAATATTAATTATTGACGTTAAAGGCTTAATTAAATACAAACTACCAGGAAAAGGTTTTAAAAATCTTTGAAGTTATTACAAGAATCTTTGAAGTTATCTAGTCTAATAAAACGCCGCGATATTATGAAATTCAACAAAATTATGAGTCATTGTAACAAATTCTGCTCATTTAATAATTTAAAAATAAACCCTTGATTCACTAACGATGCGAGTACTTTCATAATTGCAAAAGTTAAAGCAAATTTTTTATGCAATAACATTTTAACTAAACATAAAGGAAAAATAAAAAAGAAAAGATATTACAGTAAGACCCCGCTTAACGCGGAAGATACGTTCCATCGAAGTAGAGCGTAATGCGAAACAGCGCTAAGCGAGGCTATCTTAACATGTAAATGATGGGGTTAGGGAAAGACAGATAAAAAATGGTTAGGCATTAAATTTAATAATGTTTTTTTTAATAAAAATAAAATCAAACATTTATTTCTTACAAAAATAAAAACAATATAAACGCATATACTTTTAAAAACAAAATTCTCAGTCAGATCATTCAGTCTATTCTGGGTTTCCAATTTTCTGCCTTTTTGTCAAGAAGGCATTATGATAGATTGGCTTAATGGCATATTGCGTTCAATTTCGTCGTCAATCCATATAGACAGTCGTTTTCCCATTCCCTCTATAATGTTATTTCTAGAACGGGTAATTCTAGTTGCAGAGCTGGACGTAGTTGCAGTTGCCGATGACAGTATTTTTTCTTTATTAAGAATTGTCCTTATTGTTGAAATTGCCAAAATCAATGCAGCACTAATTTGAGATTGACGTTCACCAGAATCTAATCTTCTAATCACTTGCATTTGAGTTTCCAGTGAAATGCTTTTTCTGGTTGCTTTCTTTTCTTGTTTTTTATTATCACCCATGATAAAAACTAAAGATCATAATATTTGTCACTGTATTAATCGTTATAGTATTATACAAATTTAAACTTACAATAATGTCAACAAATGTTTCAAATGATAAAAATGCGTCCACAAAGCAAGAAACACAACTACACTGTTTCGGATATGTTATTTGGAAACCTAGCGCTGCGCACAATTTCGGAGAATCCCCGGGTTGAAATAAAAGAGCGCTAAACCGAAACAGCGCTAAACGAAACAGCTTTAAGCGGGGTCTTACTGTATATCTAATTCTTGAGGAAGAGATTAGATTCCCCATTCTTAATCTAATGTTATTGGCATAATCTTTTCCACCGTTTCTCTTCAACACCTGTTGTAATGCTATGCATATATAAACACCGTTATAATTATAGAATTTTTGTATATTTGTTACCTTTGCGGAAACGTATTAATGAGTTAACCTGCAGATTAACTAGAGTGATTCGTTAAAGTGAGGAAAATTGTTTCATTTCTCAAATTACCTAGATAATCTGATCATTACCTACTAGGCACTCATTAAAGTAAATATAAGATATTTGCTGGAACAACAGCAACGTTTCAGAAGTCGTCAATTACACTATTAAATTGTCCATCGGGCAGGGTTTCAGAAAATGTTACTGCAAATCGAAATGTACCATAAATAGGTGGCTTGTTGTAAAATTCAGTTGCTGTGTAATTCAAAGTGTCATTAATAAGCAGCTAATAAATAAGCAGAATTTTATCATATGTTTTGGAAATGAATTTCCTTAATTGTAATAATATTTTAAAACCTTACGTTCTTTGTAGTATAGTTTTCTAATTGATTGATCTTTGATTTTATCAACTAATTTGTTGATTGTTTGATTGCATTAACTTTATTTTTTAGGTATTGAGAAATAAATAAAAAATAGTACGCTAATTTAAGCGTACAAAAACGTAGCTGTTTTTCCAGCAAAGATCTGGCCCACCAGCGGGCGAGCGGTAAAGGCGCTGAACACTGGTAGTTCGGTCGGAGGTTCGAATCTCGCGAACGGGCTGGCTGCATGGGCGTTTTCGTGGTTTTCTCCATGTGTAACGTGTATACGGGCCAGTTTCCCTTAGAAAGACTTCCACGAAGGTATCAATCCCTTTAGGCAGATAGCCCTCGTGTGCTTTGCCATAATTGAATAATCCAATCCATCCAGCAAAGATCTTATTTTCAGTTTAACGAGTGCCTAAGAAGGTATGTGCAAAGTAGAGGGAAAGAAAATGAGAGAAACAAACATTTGAACTTTAAAGATACGGGAGCCACTAAAGTGCACATTACCCTAAGTAAAATGCGGGAAACTCTTGATTCCACACTGGCCCACCAGCGGCCGAGCGGGAAAGTCGCTGAACGCTGGTAGTTCGGTCCGAGGTTCGAATCCCGCGAACGGGCTCGCTGCATGGGCGTTTTCGTGGTTTTCCCCATGTGTAACGTGTATACGAGCCAGTTTCCCTTATAAAGTCCTCCACGAAGGCATCTCTCCCCTTAGGCAGATAGCCCTAGTGTGCTTTGCCATAATTAAATACACACCACCTTGATTCCACACTTTAACGGAGCTTTTCATGGTCTACTCTTGTATTGTTCTTATGTATTGTATACGTATTAATGTATTATGTATGTATTTTGCCTTTTCATTACTTGGGATTAAGTACTTTTTGCCTTACCTCATTACTATGAACTTATCACTTACTCACCAGCTCGATGGCTCTGGGCTTTCATGTTTAAGATACTTTTGGCTTAATTCCTAATTAATCTCTCCCTTCATTACTTTGATTATCATTAAAAGTTTAAAAAATATTACTTGCTTTTATGGTTAGTTTATCACAGCATTCGCAATTTCCTAACATATTAGCCTTGTGCTTATGCACCCTGATGTTTAGACACCATTTTACTGGATGTTTAAAAGGAGTAAATCTGTTAATCTGCAGATTAGCTAGGTAATGTGCACATTAACGACTTTCTCACTTCAAAGGTATCACATATTTTAATATTTCTGATACGTATCCTTACTTGTTTTACATAATAGTTTAAACAGATGTGTAATTTTATTACTAAAGATAACCTAATATAAAGCACTCATTCTCAATAACCCGAGAAATTTCTGGGAGCGTAGGAAAACCTTTACCATGGGTATTTGGCGCCGATAATTCCTTAAACAGCGTGAAGAAAAAAGTGCTGTTACTTTTTCATTCGTTTTCTTGGCGAGAAAACTTTCAAGTAACCCACGACCACGAGGAGGAAGAATCAAGCGTCAGTCGTTGCTTGGCAACCGCAGAGTTGATGACAAGTCGCAACCACACCAAGCCTTGAGCATGTGCTTTTTATTCCAAAATTTATACTTCCAATTTATGAATACAAAAATGTTATAAACTGGGCACTATGTCAAACTGTCGAAACTCAAACTTTTTATATTAAAAAAAAAAAAAAAAACTACGTAGATTAATTTAATCATTTACATGATTTTTTAAAATTTTATTTTTCATCTTTACCTTTTTTCCATGTGCTGTGATGCTCTAGTTGTGTTTTGAGTAACATTTATCAAAAGACCTTTCTCAGTTTATTTACGTAATTTTTTTATAAAATATGATTCTCAGGAAGCTTTTTTAAACTCATTACATAAATATGTTTGTGACAGTGTTTCAAGATATAAATATCTGGATGTTCTCAATAGTACTGTTTTTATCAAGTCTCATACATTTCATAGACTGCTCAAGTCTGGAGCCTCACATGTGAGTAAGATGATTTGTTTTATTTGAAATATTAATATTTACTGTAGCATTTTTATTGTATGATTGCACGTAGAAAAATATGAGCAACACTCCTTCCTGCTAAAACTTGGTTAAAAAAACGTTCGTCCGAACTATTAATGTTAGTTGACTAATGTTTGATAAAAATCATAAAAATCATCTGCATTATTCGTGTATAATTGGTATTCTGCAATAATTAGTTGTGCTAGTTACTGTAATATTAGTTTATGCTAGTAATTATTCTATATTATTTCCATTGTATTAACAATTTTATGAAACTAAATTGGTTTTAAATTTTGATTTGCTAACGCAGTTAACTGAAACTTTCTATAGGAATCTTTAAATTTTATTTTATACTTCAAATAATTATTAACGTCTAGCTCTCAAAAATATATTTCAAGAAGTTTCAAATAAGATTAAGATATGTAAGTATTTTATCTGTGCTGTGATTTTGTCATAATTACGTTTCCTTTTTCCCACACATGTAAATATTTTATCTGTGCTGTAAGAATTTTATCTGTGTTGTGATTTTGTCATAATTACGTTTCACTTTTTCCACACTATACAATATTCGTTTGCTTCTTGTACGCTTATTAAAATTGTATTTTAAAAATTATTTCAAGTGCTTATAATACGTGAAACCAAATGCTTTCGAAATTGATTTAATTTTCGTATTTGCTTATTTAATGTTTTACTTAATTAATAACATTTTAATCGTAATTTACTTTTATTTTTTAATTAATGTGGGAATAATGGGACATAATTCTTTTGAGAGCTGCTAGAGTTGAAGTTAGTCTTAACTTATCTTGCTAGAATATGAAAAGCGTTTAAAAAGATACTGAAAGCAAGCCAAAACAAACTCTGCAGTTCTTATATAAATTCAGTTTAGGATAAATGTAAATAAGCAGTATAAAAGTATACAAAAATATAATTTTAAATAATTATTTCTTTTACAAAATATTTTTGAAAACGCTTTTTAATTCAATAACCACAGAATGTAGCAGTTTAGTTGATCCAGTTTTGAAGTAAAATATAAATTTATTAAAAAATAATGATTTAATTAAATAGAACCGCGAATCTCCAAGAGAAATTTTCATGGATCTTAAATGGAAGAAGAAAAAATGTGTGAAGATTGATCTTCATATTTCTGTTACAACAGAATGTAAAACCATATAATAAAGTAAATAATATGCCAAACATCCAAATTGTAGTAGTTCAGATATTAGTCGCTTATTTTTTATCATTTGTACTTTTTTGACGAAAAATTTGGTTAAATTTTCAACCAAATCAGAAGACTTTACAGACATGTTTCTGAGTAGGAAACACGTTTGAATATTAGTTCTGTGAAATGACGAAATATCTGAACACTTTTCAGTTGTAAATTGTACAGCATTACTAGTAAAAATATTTCAGAATATTTATTCCGCTTAACGACTGTATTTCTTATAGCGTGGCTATTAATGTAAATGTATAAAATTTAAATAATATTACAGTTTTTAATAGGATGGCAATGCTAATTAATTAAGAATTTGCTTTTTAATTATAATAAAGTTATATGAATTTTTTGTCATTACATTTTTAATTGCATTGCATTTAAAAAATTGAGATTTGTTGCTGAAATGTCTAAATATCTTTCATTTAAAATTTTGATTCATTCAAAGATCTGTTGCCAAAAGACACAATCCATAACTCAAAGAAAACAACATTAAATTTGCTAACAGTATCGTGTTGTTACTACACACAAACAATAAACGAAAACACCCCACTTCTTTTCCTGGTTGTACTGGAATGTTTTTAACAAACACTTCCACAAAGAAAGCTAATGTTTAAAATTTCATCAGCTTTGCTACCATTTATATCAATCAAACTGATGGCAGTCTGCAATCAGAGGAGATTTGAAGGAAAGGAGCATTGTGTGCATTTGACAGAGAGAAAGAGAATGTTTATGCTGTATCTCACGCAATGGATAAAAATGCGTTAATGAAGTTGAAATTGACTTATGTCTGCATGTCGAATACATTTGAAATAGAAGATGCAAGGAATTTACGTATTGGTGTAATAAGTTTTTTGCTGTAATAAGTTTATAAAATTACTTATTTCATTTACTGTAAATGCATGATAGTAAAGGGACATATTGAAAATAATACTAGTATACGTATGTACTAAAAATACATGTAAAGGCAAAAAAAAAATAACTCTACTTTCCTAATTTAAATTTACAGTTAATTACTCTCAAACCTTAGGTGGGAAATATTTTGTGCCTATATACAGAAGGAGATTAATTTTTTTTTTTGATAGTACGTTTTTGCTCTTGATAAATATACCTTTTGATGATTCCAAGAGAGCCTGGGAAAGTTATCTTAACCCAGTTTTCATTCTTTATTTAAAGTGGTTTGGAAATCAATTTAAAATTATAGCAATAAAATATTAATCAAAATAACTTATGATAATGAAATCTTTATTTTTTAGAATATGCAATTATTTGACAAAATGATTTGCCAATTAAACTGATAATTTCTGAAAGGCATCTTGCACAAAAAATAAATAATGCTGTGCATAGAAGGCTTCTTGCACAAAAAATAAATAATGCTGTGCATAGAGTTTAGAAAACAACGATTATCCCTTTTCGTGTGTCAATAGTTTTATGTAGTTCAGAAATAAATTTTTCTTCGGAGCTCTTCACATCTTGGGGTTGGAAGATATAGTTTATACTTTTCTTATCTTATCTACTCTTTTATGGAAAATTCATTCTTTTTTTTTTTTTTTTTTTTTTTTTTAAATCTAGTGTCTGCTAAAAATTTCTTTCAATAGGGAGAGTAGAATCAAACGGATACAATGATTTTTTACATGATAAAAATTCTATAACACCATCATTCATCATTCAGCATTATCATCGAGTTCTTTGAGAGGGGATTTTCCTTCTGTTCACCCCACTAGGCAAACGAAGGGTGGTAAACAAAAGGACTTTACCTGAAATGCCAGTAGAATTGAACGGCATTTCATAAATCTTATTTCAAACCCAGACTGTAGCAATTTCATTGAAAGTATTGAGTTATTCAGTCAAATATATCGAAGTAGAATACCTCATAACGTGAAAAAATTAAGCTAAATAGATTTTGAAAGCTATTTAAAATTTTAAAACCAAATGTATCGGGAACAATATACTTATTATAGTTAATGAAAGAAAGATTTCATCAATGAACCATTAAACTGTATTGGTAACTTTCCCTTATTGTATAACATTAATAACTTTCCTTGTACTTTATAAAGGCTGTTATAATTGCTCTTTCGTGTTATCAATATTTGGTAGTTAAAATATTGATTATTCATGTTATTTATACATTTTAACATATTGTTTTAGTCACAATAATAATCTATTAAAACTTGCTCATTAATTTAGATGGGTAGATATTATGTCATCAATTAATAACTTTCAGTTCAGATAAGTCGAAACAGGCAAAAAGGTCACCAGCGGCCGAACGGTAAAATCGCTAAACACTGGTAGTTTGGACCTGAATCGATTCTAAGAGAACGAGCTGGCTGCACGCGCGTTTTCGCCATGTGCAACGTGTATACAAGCCAATTTTTCTTAGAAAATCCTCCTTGAAGATATCCCTTCCCTTTAGCAGATAGTACTTGCTTGCTTTGCCATAATTAAATTAACCAAACCAAGAAAGAAAGACATGTTCAGGGGAATTTTCGCAATCAATTCGTTTTTTTTTTATGATAACAAGTACGCTAAAAATTAAATTGTTCAACGAATAATGACGTAATAATATTATAACTCTAAATGTTAAAGTCTAATTTCTTATTGTGACTTCTGATAAATAAAGAGAATATTATTATTTCTAGAAATTATTTGAAACTGTTTCATTTCCTGCAGGTATGCAACATAGCATACTCTAAAACTACCAGGATTCCTGCAATTACCTGCAATGTGATTGTATAGTTTTTTTCATAGTCGCTCAGGGCAGGTTCCGCTGGCAAATAGAATTTGAAGTGCGTAATGTATAGAAAACAAATTGTACTACTGATAAACAGTGTAAAAAAACTCTTTTACTTAGTAACTTAATTTTTAGTAGTAAAATATTAGAAACCAACATTTGCACTAAGTTTTTACAGACTTGGTCTCCAATTGGTGGGCCGTGGTATGTTTGTTGCTCCCGAACCCCTTTTTGCGGCCGCGAACACGTTTCAATTATGGTGTTGTAAGGGTATCAAGATTTTAGTTATTTGAAGTCCGAGTTTACACTACTTTCATTTTCATCAAAAACAGACATTAATAACGTACCATAAAATCTATAAATGGTGTAAATTAATTTACAGTGTGATGTGTAAATCTTATTCAAGTATTTGGAGATACACATTATATAAGCTTTTAATCTTCAAGTATTTGAAAATACAAATTTTATAATCTTTTAATCTTATTTGTCAAAAAATAAATAAAGCTCAATTACGAATTTTTGCACTGAGAATAATCACTTCGTTTGAGAATAACTTTATTCGGGAAAATGTGAACAGCCTTTTTTTTCACGGTTGAAAATTAAAGAGAAAAAACCAGATTGACCGAGGATCAGCTACAATCCGTGATGAAGGTAATTTCTAGGAATTTCTCTCCGAGGTTGCAGACCTTATCAGAATCGAAACGCCTTCAAGTGCAAGCTGTAGTAAGAAATAAAACAAATTAATAATTATTTGCATGCAAATATGTTTTCTATTTAAGCGTCTAAGAAAAATTCAATAAGGAATGAAAGCGACTAGGTATTTATTATTTATCATTAAGTATTGTCCCACTTGGTAAAATTTCTCTGAAAACGTAAAAAGTTTTCCTAATTTGTTTATTTTTAGTTTAAACTAAAGTAAGTTATTTAATGGCTAATTAAACTTGCTATTATTTGAAAAATTATTTGAAAGAAATGTCAGTCTAAGAATTTTATATTTAGCTGTCGGTAAATTTGAATTACAAACTGTAACCAACAAAT